ACCCATTTGCTATGTTCAAAACAAACAAATCACCACTTCTCACTGACTCGCTGCCTCAAGAGTATCCCAGGTGCTGTTGCCAAGCATGTCTCTGCTCCAAAATTCAATTCCCACAAAAATACCGCACTCTACAGGATCTTCAATAGGAATACAATTCTTTATTCAAAAAAAATAAAAGACACACTGGCATTCTTTCAACGTAATGCACCAGCCCCTAGTGCGTTTCACTCATCAGGCTTAATTGTAGAGATAAGGTGTGTATTGTTTGTGTTAACCACAGTTACACAGTTATACCACAGGTGTGTATTGTTTGTGTTAACTTTTTCAACACTTGGTTGCTTTATAGCCTTGGCTTAACCACATAGCTAACTTGTTAAGAGACACTAAAGTGTCGTAAAAGAGGCTAAGGAATTTAACAAATTAGCAATGTCAGAAGCTATCAGTATTTCAAGGAAGGCAATCCCATGCAATAATTTAGTGAAATAACTTTTATATTAAAAAAAACTACCACAAACATTGATATATTTTTAAAACCATACTTATGACATGGAAGAAGCAGTTGCCCCCTACCAGCATGGAAGAGGGTCATGGACCAGATGTTACACCAGATGTTAAACTTAGACAAAACTAATGAGGGAATTCCTAACAATACGACCACATACGTGTCCCATGGCTGCTTTATTGCTTTACATACATCTGTGGGGTTTGTTTTACTGATATTCTATTTTAAGACTGTGTACCATTGAACCCTAGAACAATTAATTCTCTACATTTCAACATTCATGTGAGGCTTAGAGTGTTACATTGTTAGTTGTAACAGTTTATTATCAATTTTTGATGATTTATTTATATGCAAAAAATCAATTAATATATTATCTTTAAAAACATATATTCCAATCTGTTTGTGGTAAATTCAGCTAAACCACATAATAAAACCTTAATGAACAACTATTACTTTAACGCAAGTGCTATACCTAGTAGAAACGCATGATTTACCAGCAACCATTATTTTACTCTATATACTCCTTTAGTAAACTAAAAACATAATTTTTGAATAGCAGTAACACTGCTATAGACCATGTGACATGGTAACAAAAATTCTTATTGCATTATACTTCCTTGGATTGACAATCTACACAGTACTCTGTTTATATATGCTGCCCTATGCATAAATGAATGATTGCACATTTTTCCACAGGCTTCACCCATTTTATCAATAAAATCAATCAATCATAAGACTGAGTATTTCAAATTGAGCATGTGAATAAAAATCTATTAGTATTACAAGTTGCAGCATTTATTTCTAAGACACTCAGTCCTCATATTTCTCGTAAGTCTATAACCCCTCTTGAATGTGTCTGTAGGGATTATCCTCACAGTTTTGGGGCTTGATCTCTCTTCTTTATTCCAATTGTTTGGCTACCTCCCCTACACCGCTACACAGCCTCCTATGAGGCTAAATGGGAACAAGAGTTGGGACTTTCCTTGGGTAAAACATGTAGTCAAGAACCAGCTGCACTCCTTACCGGAATAGTAGTAAACCTGCCAAGCAGGTGGGTGCTTGTAGTGACCACGGACGGCCCCGTGAACGATGCAGATCTAGAAAGGATTGTCACCAGCACACCAAAAGTTTTGAAGCAAAAAGTCCTTTATTAACAAAGTCCTTTATTGACAAATCGCCATCCAACACAACAATTGTATTGGATGGCGATTTGTCAATAAAGGACTTTTTGCTTCAAAACTTTTGGTGTGCTGGTGACAATCCTTTCTAGATTTTCCTTGGGTAAAGAGGCATGGGCTCGAGTATGGTCATCTACTAAATCTTGTTCAAGGAGTGCTAGTGCTTTGGAGATCAACTATAAAGTGTTAACCCGATGGTACATGGTCCCCACTAGAATAGCTTCCTATGCCCCCAGTTATTCTCCATTTTGCTTTAGGGAATATGGTGAAGCTGGTTCACACACACACATCTGGTGGTTTTGCCCCATCATATCTTGTTCTTGGGACCATGTCTTCTATATTCTTTCGGTTTTGGCACATAGACTGGTTGTTAAAGATCCAAACTTTGCCTTATTCAATTTATGACCTGACACTCTCCTCACCAAGTTGTTTAAGCTGTTTCTTCAAAGAGAGATTGTCAAATCGTGGAAATCCCCCTCTCTTAGCATTAAAAATGTAAAAGGCCAGATTACCTGGATTGTGACAAATGAGAAGAGGACAGCTAAACCTACTAACACCATGTCTAATTTTTGATGGTATTTGGGAACTCTGCATAGAGCACCCCCCATTTTGACCTCCATCTGCTTTCGGTTTGATCTTTTAATCCTCCCCTTGAACCTTCTCTTCTTGTGGTCATATCCTGGGACGTTCTCTATCTTTTCTCGCTTCCTCTTTCTTTCTATTTCCTTTTTTCTACCCTCTTAGTTATTTTTTTTTATTTAGGTGTACACTCTATTCACCAGGTTGTTTTTCGGCACATTAGTCTGCTATATTGTCCATGGGAATATCCATTGGTTTTCTCTTTAGCACCTCCATTTGTACCTTGGATCTAGGGGCTACACAGCTCCTATTCATGTTCAGGACTTTATTCCTGGGGTTTGTTATATACCTGGTTTGCTTATTTAATAGAGTCTTATAAATGTACAATATATTTGTGAGGATGTGCTGATCATCTTGCTTGAACAATACAATACAATTTTACAAAACAATACCAAACAACAAAAAAATACAGTTGTAGTAATTCTTGATTAGTAAAGTGTTACACTGTGAGCAGCGCAAAGTGATACATCATTGCAGTGTTACTTCATTGCAGTTTGATTCAGTTAGTGTGTTCCTTGAGTTGACAATAAAGCAAACTACCTAATGGCTATGGCTATAGTTATCTGTGTCATAAACTACATAGAAGTGATGAAGACAAAAACATTTTAAGATTTTCCTGCAATTGTTTAAAAAGGCCTTCTCTTCTATGTTGCAGCAACTTGAGTGACCGTTCTGATGCATTTCATAGGATGTTTTAGGACCCTAGGAACTCTGATTATGCCGCACCTCTAAATAGACTAAGGGGGTTATTCACAAAGCTGCCGAGGGCAGCCGTGTGAATAACCAACCTGAAGTAAAGTGAGCCGAACGCTGTTCGGCTATTCACTTCAGCCATACACCAACTGAAATCAGCTGTACATTGGCTTGCTGCGGCTGGGTTCGGGTCAAAGTGGATGCAGATTTGCTGTGTTTGCTAACATTCACTTTGTAAATTGAACATTTAAAGGGTTATTCACAAAGCTGCCAAAGGCAGCCGAGTAAATGACCCACCCGAAGTGAAGTGAGCCGAATGCTGTTTGGCTATTCACTTCAGGCTTGTATGGCTGAATTCAGCCATACATCGGCTGAAATCAGCCTACATCAGCTTGCTGCGGCTAACTTCAGTTCAGCCAAACATGCTCAGCATTGTCGGCTGACCCAAAGTGCAGAGGAGTTTGACTCCAACATCTGGATTGGCTGACCCGAAGCTCAGGCAGCTCACTTGCTGCCGTTTGCCCCTATTCACATAGGGGCCGAACAGCAGAGAGTGAATAGCAGAATGCCTCCGAGCGGCATTCGTTTCGGCTATTCTGCTCGGTACCTCCGTTGTCCGGAGCAGAATAGAAAATCAGTGAAAAAAGTAGATTTTTTTTTAATCTAACAAAATAAATATAGATTTATTTAAAAAGGAAAATTAAAAAAAAATACAATTGGGCAGAGCTAGCAGTGACAGCTAGCTCCACCCCCAACTGTTTCCTATTGGCCGGGACCTGCAAGATTCTTCTAGCAGGTCCCGGCCAATGAATAACAACTGGGCGGAGCTGGCCGTGACGTTATGACTGGCCCAGCCCAGCCCAATTGCCATTGTTTAATGACAGTTCAGCGTCCCCAGGCTTTGGGTGTCACTTCGGCTCAGGCGAGCCGAAGCATATGCCTTCGGCTTGGTTGAGCCGCTCGGCCAGCTTCGGGAGCTGTACGAACTATAGTGAATAGCCCATACAGCAGCCCTTCGGTTCAACTGAACCGAAGGGCTCCGGCGGCCGAAGCTAGCCGAGGATCAGCCGGAGCTCCAGCTGATCCTTCGGCTAGCTTTGTAAATAATAACCCTCTTGCTTTTCTAGGTGAACAGCCTTTACCCCTTTATATAAGTCAATCCCAAACTGTACTGTTTTTAAGCTGCTGTTTTTTTACCTTGAATGCCTAGACAGTGGTCCACATGTGCCTGAAATTGTAGTCATTAATTTGCGATATAAGTGCAGCTTATATTTAAATCAGATGATACTGATCTGGAAAACAAATGCAGTACAAAGTTCTGTTTTTGCCGCACAATAAAGATGTTCAGTTGTAATAAGCAAGGAATGGGGCTGATTTACCAAAGGAGTACAGACTGTTAACTTAGCACAATGAATGTTCTGTAAGATAAAGGAATGTTCAGGTAACCTAGTGTGTACAATGAAGTTGTGTTAACTTGAATCATCCAGTCATGATCAAGCAAAATTCTGTTTTGTTTTTGGTTTTTTTAATTTTAGCTTGCATATGATTCAGTATTCAAAGTGAACACAGCTTTACCTTATTTACTAAGCTAAGTGAACATTCATTTTGCTAAGTGAACTTTCCCTGCTGCTTTAGTTAAATCTCCCTTTCAAGTACAGGTAGTATTAGTATTATTTTAAATATTGTATTTTTTTGCAGCAGAGTATATAGTATGTGGAATATGCATGTCATTATTACTGTGATGTTCAAATCTACAGCATACATACAAGCATAGCATAACAGGGCTGTATGGAGGATGCCCTGGCAAAACATGCATGACAATCTTTGTTTTTGAAGTGACTCTAAAAACAGACATTTGAGGAAGTTTTATGCATAAAGCAGATGTCAGATGGTAAAGATCGACTGCTTGCAGATCAAGTTGCTGCTGCCAAGTCTCGCGAGCTTTAATTCAGACACAGTTTCTATTAATGTCCGTACTATCCAATTTACAGAACTGAGGCAGCAGATGTACTTCTAGGCACTGAACTACTTAAGATTCTCGCTGTTTAAAACTTTGTAATTTTACTTGGGTAAGTGTCTCAATAATTCTGTGTTTCAATGAAGCTTTTAATCCATGTTAATTTGCACTTTCTATTAATTCAGATATTGCAGACAGAATTAAAACAGTTTTGGTACTTGTGTTACAATACAGAATGACCTATTCCCAAATGCATCTGAAGCAGATACTGGAGATTAATGCTTAAATAGATACCACCGCTGAATTTTCTGTCTGATAGCAATTGTATGGTCTGTGTTGTTTATGTGTCTTTATATTAGATACGCAGTTTTGTTTTTTTGAGCTGTGTATAAAAACATTGCACGGGGATATGTAATGAATATGGTCATTTTCTCTACATTGCTACATTTTTTTAGTGATCTGTTTGTAATCAGGATAACAAAATTTAGACAGATAAACTGATGAAAGATAGATAGATAGATAGATAGATAGATAGATAGATAGATAGATAGATAGATAGATAGATAGAGCAATATATTTATTTGCACCCTTTACATATTTAACAAAATACAACATTTCCAAATTATTGTTTATTCTTTGTCATGTATATGTTCTCTAAAATCTAAGTATTTTTATATTTAAAACTGCCAAACTGAGTAAATTAAGGTGGTCACATCCTGCAATTTGGCTTGTTTTAAATATACATATATTTTTATATATGTTGCTATGTTATAAGTTCTTTAGCATTTTTACCATTAACTATCAGTACTCAGCAGAGCATTGAAGTGTAGGGAATTGTTAAAAGCACCCTTACTCAAGCATGTTACCATAATTGGCTTTATTTATTTTGACTCTGCTCTATGGCAAACACTGCCCAAGAAAAAACGACTGGTAAAAATAAATTAACAACTCCATCCTCACATTGCTGTCTTTTACTCTAGCAGGAAAAAAAACTGAAATAAAAACTAGAAAATTATTATTATATAATCTCAGAAGATCTTTGCATTCGCAGAATAACAATGTTCTTTTGTTAACCAATTAACATGTGCTAAGAATAGACTTATTGTTATGGTAGTACAAAACTAGACCCTCAATACAGCTTTGTATTTTATTTTTATAAATGGCAGTTTATTACCATTCTTTCTCTTTTAGTCACTTGTTAAGCTATACTAATTCCTTCTCTATTATTAAAAAAACTTTTGAACTATTTAGAAAGAGTGATAGGATTAGTGCATCTAATATTAGCATAAATAAAGTTATTAATATGGTAAGGTCACATAAGGGGAATTATGCATGATAGGCTCTCAGCTCAAGACAATAAATGGGATTATAGACTTATAAATAATGGCAGATAATGATTTCCATTCCTATAAATACAGTGCAATGTGCATTGCAAACTGTTGGCATCCCAATTTTGGACAAGCACTAAAAGGAAATTTATTTTTATAGAAGTAATTAGCACATTGCAATAACTGAATATCACAAGTTCATGTGAAAACACACACACACACACACACACACACACACACACACACAAATGATGATTTCCAAGGTGAAGCAGCCCACTACAAGAACTTAGCATTTCCCTTTAATGTAAAGATATCAGTGAATGGAAAGTGCTACTTGGTTGCTTTGGGTTACTACTCTTTAAATTTTTCTCTTTTACTTATTGAATACACCTATATATTAAATGTTATGAGTATACACTAGGTATAGAGTCCACTAGTATATGGTATTGCAAGGGGCACCAGGTACTTCTGTAGAAAGTTGGACTAAGAAGAAAAAACTTATTGTTAAAGTGACACTAAACTCTGGAGTTAAATCTTAAAACTACATCTAAGTACTCTATTAACAAAAATGTATCTTATATGTTACTATATCACTCGGCTGTAGATCCTCAAATCATATCTGAATTGGTACTGACACTGTATTTCCTTATGATGGGTGGCTACTTTTGTTCCCCATGGTCCCTGTGTGTGTTGTAATGTAGCCACCGCTCCAAGCTCACTCCTTTAAAGGACTACAATGTCACATTTAGTTTACTAATTTGTATTGAGATTGTAGTCCATCACAGGACTACAACAACACACACAGGGACCATGGGGAACAAAAGTAGTCACCCTCCAGAAGGAAGGACAGTGTCAGCACCAATTTAGAGATGATTTGAGGATCTACAACTGAGTGATGCACATATAAGCTACAATTTTGTTTATAGATAGGGAATTTAAATGGATTTTAAGATTTAACTGCTGAGTTTAGTGTCCCTTTACGGTATATTAAAGTGCATTAACATGTCAGTATACCATGAGAAAACAATATCACACATCCAGATCCCCACCTCCACACTTGATTTAAGTTCCTTATTTAAACATTGAATCAATAGATTCAATTAGATTCTCAATAAAAATTATATTAATAAAGTATCACACATCAAATATGTTAATTACTATGCATTATTCCGTATTTTTACTATTGGAAATGGTGTTTTCAATTTACTTAAGATTTTACCACACATCATCATCTGCGTTTAGCTCATGCATGGTATATTAGCCATTTCCGTGCTCTTTTGTATACAAAAACTCGACTGAGAGAGATTTAAGTATACATTTTAAAAGCCTAATAGTAGTTTCACACCTTTTTATCTCTATTTCTGACTTGTTACTGATATTGCTCTAAAATGTAATAAAATCCAATTTTTATCTCAGTGAAAATTCCTTTCTTTACATTCCTGTCCTCTATGCTGGCAGAGCTGAGTACCAGTCGTACCCCTCAGCACAAGGCTCATCAGACAGACTTGTATTGCAAAAATGGGAAGGGGCGTGTCTGTGTGAATTACTGAATTAGTTCCCATTCACACTTTCGCAATGCATAAACATGCACATGCTTTGGTACATGTGGTTACTTGTTAATGGCAACCCAAACTAGGCTGGTAAAGTGAAAGTACACATTTTTGCCTACGTATGGGTGCACATTAAATGTGCACAAATGCATGGGGGGAAAGAAACATGGTACGCTTGCAGCTGAAATTGCTGCATGAACTACTTTGCTGCATTTGTCACGCATGTAGCAGCCCATTGATTGAATGGGCTGACGCATGGCAAATTCAGCAAAATATGCACACGGGCATGTGCTAACATGTGTGAATTGGATTCTTGTTGATGTAACAGTAACATGTAGGTAAGTTTATGAAAATGGAGGTTTCTTCTGCAATGTCTATGTGCCTGCATATCTATTTATGTAACTTCAATGGGGCTATAACATATCACTACCTTTTGGCTTGCCGTAACTGAAATTAAATTTTAAGTCATTTTTAATGTCTATTGGGAGGAGTATAACATGTATTTGTTGGTGAGGTGTAGATGAAGTAATGCTATATGAGATAAAACACCTACTCATGAAAAATGAGACTTTACCATTTATTTATTTTTTAAAACAGTTCTACAAAATGCAGTTTTTTTTTGTTATGCGAGTTGATTGTTTTGAAAATAAATTTATCATGTGGTAATATAACAAACATGTTTAATATGACTCATGCAGCTTAGTGAACTGACACTAAAAAAATACAGGGCGAAGGGCATTAGGGACAGAATATTTGTTTTCTGTTGGTATCTGTAGGATAAATGATTTTTCTTTCACATTAATAAATCAATACTACTAATTTAATATGTGTCTCTTACATTGTGGATAGTGTCTTTCTAAGTCTGCCTTTATTACAATTTGAAGGGATTTTGCCAAAGAAAATCTCTTTACATGCAGTTCCATAATAAACAGAGGACAAAAAATAATTCAGGTTTTTATTTCTGTTTGTGACTCCATTGAGGATATTTCCTTGCTGTCCCCATGAGAGCAAGACCAGAAATGAGGAGAGAGGTTGCCACCTGAATAGGAAGGCACAAACAGCAATAAAACATTGTTAGGAGTTCTGACACGTATCCACCCTACAACAATATGTTTACATCTGTCCATGTTGGGAAAATTCCCCACCAGAGGGATGTTCCTTAACAAGGACACAGACAGCAAAAAAAACTTGATAGAGGCTCTATCCCTTCCACACTTTATACAAAACTAAACAAAATGTATTGGTTGGATTTATGTTTTATGACTTTCACAATTAGTATAAATATCAGAGAAAATTATACTGTAGATACAGAATGTAACATGTCCCTACTTTGTCTGTGTCCACAGTGAAAATATTTTCCATTACCTTCTGTCCTGGCAGAAAGTAATGTAATGTTTACAATTTAAAATGTAAACATATCCAGAAATACTGAGCTACATTGTAAATATATAAATTACTTCTGCCTTTTTTTATCTAGATTTTTAAAAATATCCTCACATGCTAATGAGAGTGTAAACATTGCTCAATGTACATTCAAGGACAAGGACTAAGAACAAGGAAGATGTTTTCCCCAGGCTTTAATTTAAGGCCTTCACCGGTGGGAGTCATAAATTATTATTCCTGTGCTGCCGTGCGCTCATGCGATCATTGGAGACTGCGAGCTGCTAGAATGAGGCAGCCCGTGCATTAGTTTAGCTGCAGCACTAGAGAGAACACATATGGGGTCTATTCACGAAGCTGCCGAAGGATCTAGCTGCAGCTTCGGCCAATCCTTCGGCTAGCTTCGGCCCCAGGACCCCACTATACCCCGTACAGTTCCCGAACGTGGCCGACCCGAAGTGCAGTCGAGCCGAACGCATATGCATCGTGCTGAAAGCCGGAGCCAGCCGTGATCTTACAGCTGGCTCCGGCCACTTGCAGAGAGATCAGCGTCCCTGGTTACCTGCTAACCAGGGACAATGATCTCCAAACAGCTAACTCTCCCTGGCGCCCCTGGAGTCTCCTGGAGCAGCCAAGGAGAGAAACACTGCTGTTTCTTTTTTTTCTTTATTCTGACACGGAGCAATGTCAGAATAGAAAAAAAAAATTCCCATTGAAATGCATTGCTACATTACTATTGGCTATTTCAATTTCCAATAGCCAATAGTAATGTAGCAATGCATTTCAATGGGAATTTTTTTTTTCTATTCTGACACGGCTCCGTGTCAGAATAAAGAAAAAAAAAAGACACAGCAGTGTTTCTCTCCTGGGCGGCCGGGAGCGGCAGGCTCCCAAAGCGCCCGGGAGAGTTTTTTTATTTCTTTTTTTTTTTACGGCAGCAGAGCCGCCGGACAATAGGAAACTATTGGGCAGAGCTAGCTGTCACTGCTAGCTCCGCACAATCCTTTTCTATTTTTTTTTTTTTTTT